CGCCCCCCACCCACCCCCCCCCAAAAAAAACAATAAAAGTCAAACTCATTTTAGCACTTGGACCAAAGTACCCATTGCAAAAAACCCTAGCCCAACATAATATACAATATTTGTACTATATTTTTTATAATTACCCAATTTATCCTTATGTGGCTATCAACTTTTTTTTTATTCAGTTTTTTTGCAAACCAATAGAATTTGACAATAAGTCGGGAAAAGATTTCAAGCTAGAAGAAAAAAATCAAGAGAAGGTCTGGCATTAATGGCAATGGGAGGGCTTTTTTTGGTGAGAAATAAAATTAGAGTGAAACAAAATTAGTTCCCTTCAAACAATTACCATAACATTTTATACTTGACATTTAAGTTATATTTCATATCTTTTCCTCTTTAGATTTTTCCCATAAGTTCTTCACCAATCAAAATGTATCTCTTCTGTATCTTCTCTCCTCATTAACTTTTTCTTGTAACTTCTTCAGGTACCAAAAATAGATGAATGTTTAATGTGTGATTTCATAAAAAACCAATGCTACCCTCATTAAAGTCAGACCTGCAATAAGCTTAGCTAAATTGATGATGCACGCCTCAGAGAATTTAGAATTAGTGTATGAAAGTCTGTTGATAAGTTATTCTCTTGAGAAGCTTCCCAATGTCTCTTGTGAGCTTTCAAAAGATGAATTTATTCCCAACATGATAGATTATCATCATACAATGGGTTTGAATACAATAACCGTGAATATTTTTAAGACGCACATTGACTCAACTAATATGGTAGGACAATAGTACCCTTAGCGGATGACTTTCTACTGGAGGGTTCTAGCCCCAGGATGGTTTCCACATGTTCCCTCTGAAAGCACCCTAGAGAGGGGGGTGAATATGGTTATTGCTAATCTAATCCGATTATATGCTAATTAAAAACTTTCTTGATTAATTAATTCTTACAAAAGATATATGAGTGAGTTATGAGCAAGAATGTAAATTACAAGCACAAAAAAACTATATACAAAGCAAACTCAAACACAAAATATGATCACGGAGTTCAGTCAATCATTGACCTACGTCTCCGCTCCTCACCTCGAGGAGATTTCCACTATCTCTACACACCCAGTTTAGAAGCCAGAACTTCTCTACACAGTCAGTTTTTTAGTTCATCGAAAACTCTACAAGACACTTACAATGTACATACACAAACTACAACCTCAAGTGTTGGTCGTCACGTATTGCCTCCCTCAAGTGCTCGGCTTTACTATCTTTCTCTAGGCTTTACTACCGACGCCACTCCTCTTGGTATCGACTACGCCCTCACCACACACTCCTCTCGGTGTAAATGTGTATTACAAAGTGATACTCTCACAATAAGGCTCAATTACAAGATTTGTTCTCTAATTATGAATGAGAACACAATGAAGCTCACTCTCACAATATCACTCACCACAACCCACAATATAGTGTATGTAATCCTAAAAGCTCAATAGGGATGTGTGTGTGTGATAAATGAGTATAAATAAAATCCAACTAAAAAAGAACTAGCAATAAAATTGATATGAAATTCAAGAATAAAAATGCTAGGTAATGAGTTAGGGAAACTTCTCTATAAATACAAAGAGTGGATGATGAGATATTGAGGATGGATTCCTCAACCAAAGATGTAAGCTCCTCTTTGTGAAAACCAAACTCCAAACTTAAAATAAACTAAATCAAACTTTTAAACTCTTTTAAAACTTGTTTAAAACTCTTTTGGGTGGTTGGAAATAGTTAATGCAAAAGGGTATTTATAGGCTTGAAGAAACCAGCCTAAGAATCCAACAAAAATACTTAAAAATATTAAAATAATCAAAGCTGAAAACTAGTCGTTTACTGTGCAACTGCTAACTTGGCGGTCGACCGCGAAAGGCTGAAAAACAGAGAAATTCTCTAGACAATTCGTGGTCAACCGCCGCGACCACTCCAGTCAACCGCTGACAGATATATGACATGCACAGTTTTAAAACAGAAATGTTGATTTTAAACTGCCTTTAAAAATAGCAAATAAATTTAGAAAATATAAAACTTTGAGGAATTCTTATAAACATGAAAATGAACATGTTATAAAAACTGGTTTTCAAATAGCACTTCCCATTTGTGAAATCTTATTATTTTGCAAAATCGGTTAAAATGCGAAATATCGAAAACACATGATTTTGACAAAATGACTTAAACAAAGCTTTGAAACACTTTAGAATGGATTTATAGACTTATACAAGATATAAAAATAGTGTGAATAAGTCTTCAATCCATAAACATAATATTTATCCATAAACATAATATTTTGCAAATTCAATAGAATATGAAACTCATAAATGTGAAAATGAAGATATATATTGTTTCATATTTATATAGCTAAACCAAAACATATATGTATATATATAACTATATACAAAACCAAAACATGTATGTGTGTGTAAATTTAAGCTTATAGAATTAGCACACATATATAAATCTATTCTAAGTATACCAAGATTGAATCTTCTGAAGCTTGAATTTGATTGATTGATTTGATTTGCATAGGCTTTAATATCAATGTAGCTCATTTTCTTGTGAATACTAAATAACACAAAACAAAATACTAAAACCAATATTAGTCGTAAATTGTTTGTTAAATCATCATCAAAACAAGAAGGCTAACACCCTCATAGATCTCCCTGAGAACATAGTTGGCCTCTGGTGGTCGAAGGCACCGAAGATAGGGTCACACACTACTGCCAGAGTATGACATCCGATAGAGTTGTCCATCGATCATGAGATAGCAACGAGAGTTCCTTTGCAGACGCCTGACTTCGATGGGATTCTCAGACAAGGTGCCCTGTGTCATGTAGAGGGTAATGAGATCTAGCCAACAGGGCACCACAGGTGTCTTAGTTTTCATGACGGTCTCCGGTGACTTACAAATGCTAGGACGCTCGAGGGTGACGGTGTAAACTAGCCCTGAGCTGTTTCTTGAGCTCGTTGACCCGAGCTTGGATAGGTCATCTGCCGAGGCGTTGAGAGCGTGGGGACCTGGGCTACCTTGAAATATACAAAGCTGGCTAACAACTCCTTAACCGCTTTGAGGTACATGGCCATCCTCGAGTCTTTAGCCACATATTTCCCATTCACCTGACATACGACTAGTTGTGAGTCAGCCAATATGTAGAGGTGTTCTGCCTTCACCACTTGTGCCGCTCGAAGGCTAGCATGGAGAGCCTCATATTCGGCTTTGTTGTTTGAGGTTGAGAAGTTAAAAGAGATGGAGTGCTTATGTGTCCACCTGTCAGGGCTACGCAGGACTACTCCTGCTCCATTGCCAACTTCTCGGAGGACCCGTCTACCTTCAATAACCACCATGAAGCAAACTCTAGCGAATCATATTCCAGGGTGCGACGGACCTATGGGGCAGATGCCCGGACCGCTAGGGGTGCTAGAGGTTCTTGCCGAGTCAACAGCGAGGACATGTCTGGCTCGTCGCCAGATGAGGTCGACTCAATAAGAAAGTTAGCCAAAACATGAGCTTTGGTCGTCATTCTAGGCTCAAATTGCACGTCATATTCGTTGAGTTCGACTGCCCATGCAACCATTCTTCCGGAGGTTGTGGGGCTACCCAACGCTTTCTTCAGAGGCAGACTTGTTCGCACAATTACAGAATGAGCTTGGAAATAAAGGCGGAGTCTCTTTGCAGTAGTGATGAGGATAAAAGCAACCTTTTCTATAAGCGGTGGTTGAGCTTGCCCGCTTTCAAGATTCGGCTAATGTAGTATACGGGCTTCTAGACGTTCTCCTCTTTTCGGACAAGGACGAAGCTGACGGCTTCGGAGGAGACGACCATATATAGGTACAAAGTCTCCCCGCTATGGGTTGGCTCAGCAGCGGTTTGGTGCTCAAGTAGGTCTTGAGGTCTTGAAAAGCTGCACTGCACTCGGCCTCCAAATCATGCTCTCTTTCATTTTCTTGCTTCCCCTCAATATTTTGAAGAAAGGGAGGCTCCTCTCGACAGATTTGGAGAGGAATCGACCCAGCGCTGCTATATTTTAGTTCAGCTTTTGGACGTCCTTCAAGGTGCGTGGTTCGGGTAGTTGCTCTACGACGGCTATCTTTTCAGGATTAAACTCGATGCCTCTTTGCGTGATCATGAACCCCAGGAACTTTCTCGATTGCACCCCAAAGGCGCACTTGGCTGGGTTGAGCTTCATGCGGTAGCGTCGAAGAGTAGAGAAGGTCTCATCTAGGTCTGATATATGGGCCGACGCTTGTTTTGACTTTACCAGTAGGTCGTCTACATAGGCTTTCAAATTGACCGTTCTGGTGCTTAAAGACCTTGTTGACAAGCCTCTGATAAATGGCCCTAGTGTTCTTTAGTCCAAAAGGCATCATTTTGTAGCAATAGGTCTCTTGGTCGGTGATAAAGGAGGTCTTCTCCTGGTCATGCTCTGCCAATAATATGATCTTGTTTCTTCATTTCGGACCCTGCTTAGGTTGAAAAAACCTTATTCCTTTTGGAGATTCATCCCATGGCTAATTACTGTCTTACCAATTAAAAGAACCAATTTAGCCTTCAAAATGTTTGCTTCTAAACTGTTTCATATTTAGGGCGAAACAACATTGACAAAGAAAATAAGAAGTTCCATTCGTTATTTTTCACCCGCAAAAGAGATAAGATGATTTATCCTCAGTAACAAGGAAGGACGGGAAGAAGGAATAAAAGAATAGCAACATTTTTTGTATTCCAAAATTGCCCCATATTTACTTTGTTCATGTATCTAACACGGCACATGAAGAAAACAAATATAAACAAATATAAAAAACAGTTTTCAAGTAAGCCGTCTTAAGAACTCTCCCGTGTTTTGGGTCCAAAAAGATTTATATTTTAAGGGGATGTTTGGTTCGTTTTTTAACTCGGTGGAAAAGTTTTACACCGCCTTCACATCAGATTTTTCGTGGCCACGTAGGATATAAGCTTTTCGTCGGTTTTTTTCCATCTTTGGTTCGTTAGGGTTGAAGAAGGGAAACTCGGTGAAAATCGCCGTCACATCAGATTTTTTCTCTCTCCCCCGATTCCTTCCTCAACCTCGTGAAATCGACGAAAACTGCAGCCACGTCAGCTTTTTGCCATATAAACAAAAGTTTTCCCTTTTTTTTTTCCATGCGAACCAAACACAAGAAAAATAAATACATTGGTTTCCCACCATTTTTTTGTGCGAACCAAAGCGAAACAATCTATTTCTTAAAAAAAGTTTAGAAAACTCAAAACTTGTGTTTTTGTACATGGAAATGTATTTTCCTATATCTAGGAAACGAACCAAACACCCCCCAATAATAAATTGCTTGACCAATGCTAGAGAAGGGGTCCTACAAATATTTATCAGTAAAATTCCCCCTCCTTGGTACTAAAATTGGTCGGCCGATTTTAAGGCGGAGGCTAAAATAGTAAAATCACCCGCTTGCGCGTCCGGTGTCGGGCCCTAAAATCAGTCGGTTTCTCTCTCCGTCCCCACCCGAGTCCGACCCGAGTAACAAAAGGGGGCAGAGAAAAGAAGCGAAACGCCCTACAGCGCCCTCCTCGTGTCTCTGGGGTAGCAGCCGAAAGCCCCAAGGTAATCACAGCAATCACATTTTCGTCCGCCTTTCTCTTTCAATTCCTTCTTCCGTTTGCGGTTTCCCTCAGAACGAGGATCAAAATTAGCAGCCGCAGTTCTCCCTTGTGAGGTCGGAGAACTCGCCTCCAAAGAAACCCTAGCGACGCACGGGTTTTAGCGAAATCGATCCAGTTACGTTTGTTTTCGTCTTGTCTTTTTTGAGAATCTAATTATGAAAAAAAGAGAGGAAAAGGGAGGTTTTTGCGATGCGATTCTGTAAATGCCGAGGAGGAGGGTAAAGTAATCAGCGTCTGATTTTGGTCTAGTTGAAGTTTAAGGTTCTGCGATTAATTCGAGGCTGCTGCGAAAATCACTAAATCATTGGCTATTATAGCATCAATTTTTAACTTTGAAAATCGCATTTTGAAACTCAAGTTCTCATGTTTCAGGGAAAATAAAGCGAGGAGCAAAGTGCGCTGAGGTAAAGTGAATATTTTGAGCCTTCTCCTTTTCAGTTAGCTGCTGCTCCTCTTGTAAACTACAAGAGTTTAGAGTCTATACTTTTAATTTTATTTTGATTCATGGGTGTCATCTGCTTAATTTCGAGTCTAGGGAATTCTTGGAGGGTTGATTCTTGGTTATACGAGGTGAGCTGCCCGAACCATCTGGGACACTTTAAATGAAAATAATTGACAATAGCAATTTCCAAGATGTTGATGTACTGTTGGATGATGTGGATGCAAATTCTCGAATGAAAATTAGTAAGGGAGGTGAAAGAGGAGTTCTTTGTTTGACTTTTTTGGAAGAGTAATCTACAAATAAGTGGTCCTATAAAGAGTATACATTTTAGGAACATAAGAGCAGTCTATTATCTAGGCTACAGCTAGCTGCAATGTCAAGCGGTCAAACTTTTTAAATTGTAGTAGCAGAGATTTCAGGTTCATTATGTGCTTGACTGCTGTCTTTGTGGAATGATGGAAAATAATTGTGAAAAAACTAGGGAGATTATTCTTAATCATCAACCTTTACCAACCTGCCATGGCAGGCCATCGTTTATCACAAAATTTGTGGGCAGTTATTAATCATGGGAATTGCTTTAGTGAATTATTTTTTCTTTTGTTATTGTCTTCTAAATACATTTCCCTCATGTGTTTTGGTGCTGTTATTAGCATGCTTTTATTGAAGTTTTGCTTACTATTTTTATTCTTTATGACTGGTTTCAGAAGAAAAACTGAGCTTCAAAGTTATGTAATGATTGGTTAGCATTGTATTGCTGGAAATTAAGCTGAGGACATTAGGCGGCTATTTAAGGAGATTGATACTTTAGATTCCCAACACTCCCCAACACACAGACAGCCCACAAAAAAGAGAAAAGAAAGAAAATGGAAACGAAAATTGTTAACCATCTTAGAAACTATTTTTTTCAACCTAGCATAGCAATCCCATCATTTAGTACACAATCAGAGGGGCGTTGTTAAGTAGGTGAAATAACTTCTCTTTGTTATCTTCTGAACACACTGTTCTATTACGTTCTGGTGCTTTGATTAGGCCGCTTTAAAGTAGATGATTTCCTTTTTGGTTTTTAAGTAAGCTCTTTAGAAGAGAATTTATAAGACAAGCTGGAAGTTATGTGTTATATTGGCGTGTATTTTGTGATTTTCTGGAAAGTTAACTGTTCAAAGAAATAATGAAATAGTTTCAAGGAGTTTGACTCTTGACAGTTTTTCTTTTTCCCAAATTGTTGAACTTTATATTCATCATTGCATGTCCTTGTTGGTCTTGCAGCCATTGTCTGATCTCACTGCTTTAGACGTGGACTAATGGCTAGTTTCCCACAGCCGCCTGGAGCCCAGGTTTGACCTTTTTGCGGTGTATTTTCTTTATTTTGGAGTCATAAATTCTTAATTCTTATTTACCAGGAAACATCTTTATCATATTTCCCTCTTGGTCTACTATGCATTATTACTTTTAAAATGTACAAAAGACAAGTTCTCTGCTTTCTCGTAACTTGATATTTTTCTTAAATTTTTTTGGAAGTCTGTTAGGCCTCCTCTAGCAGGATCAACAGGTCCACCTCAAAATTATGGTCTACCTATGCCAGTGCAGGTGACATAATATTTTTATGTTGGCATTGGAATATTTTTTTCCTGTTCTGTCATATCAGAGTACTTACTTTAATTTTTTGTTTTTGTTTTTTTGTTTTTTTAATATTACAGTTTACACCTGTTGGTCTAACTCAACAATCTCATCAGTTTATACCAGCACCTTCCCAACAATTCCAACCCACGCAAAGCGTGTCCTCTTCATTTGTTGGAGTTCCTCCCCCTCCCCAATTTGCTCCCCCAGTACAAATACTTTCAAGGTCAAGTCATCCTGGTCAAAGTCCAGTTTCATCACAAACAATTCCAGCTCCATATATTCAATCAAATGCATCTTTCTCTCCTGGGATGCAGTCCCAGCAGAACTCTCAGTTTCAGAGCAATCATCTGGTTAATCTAGGTGGTGGAGGAATGCCTCTTTCTTCATCTTATACGGTGAGATTACGATACACACTTCATGATACACAGATACAAGCTGCATGATATGACTGAATGCTGTTTCCACTTTCTTTTGCATTTCTTCTGTGACCTGTTTTATCACTTTTGCAGTTCTCAACGTCTTATGACCAGCAGCCAAATACTGCGAATGCCCCATTGCAGTATCAATCAGTACCTCAGATGCGAGCTTCTTTTCCGCCTGCTGTGGAACAAGCTTGGCGAACTTCTGGGGTTCCAGTTTCAGGCTCACTGCATGCTGTCCAAACATCTGCTGGGCTTCCAGAAACAAATTCACTTCAGTCTGCTCAACAGTCATCAGCTGTAGCTGCTGCAGTTTCTGTGAGAATATATATATTTTTAAATATTTCTTTGTTCCCGCAGAATTAATTCATTTGGTGTTCCTGCATTTATGCACATACTTATATTTACTGCCTTCTTGTAACATTACTAACTCTGTGGAATTTCAGATGACAAATGTTCCATCTATCGCTACTCAGCAGTCTTCTGATTGGCAAGAGCATTTATCCTCTGATGGGAGAAGGTTTAGATAATCTTTCTTTATTTTTTGTAGAGTTAATAAACTATACACATCTCCTTTTTTGGTTTTTTTAACTGAGAAGATGCTGGTATTATGTTAGCACTTCTTATTACTTTACATCTTTCAACATATTATCCTATTGATATGATTTTTGTGATGTTTGTAATATTGTGTCTTATATATGTTCTTTGCCCAGATATTACTACAATAAGAAGACCAAGCAGTCTAGTTGGAAAAAGCCCGTGGAATTGATGACACCAATTGAGGTGGGTCATATCATCAATACATACCCTCATGTTCTCTTTGTGCTTTCTCCTTCCTATGCATTATTGACAGTGATTTATCAAATATGATTTTCTCTATCTATTGTCTAACTACTGTAATTGTAGGCATAATTCTTCAGAACAAGTTTATGTATACCCTCTCTTTCTTTGCATGTTCTGGTTATTTGGTAGTACATGTCATTTACCATCTTTGGTCCAGGTTCGAAAAAATAGGAAATCAATGTATATCTTAATGTGTTTTTCTTTTTCTTTGCACATGTTATAGCTGCAACAGATTTTTATTCAATTTTATATATAGCATGCATTAATTTCTAAGGACGACTGCTAGGCCATCTTTTAAACAATTAAGTGAAGGACAAAGTTTCAAATTCATCACGGGACTTGAAGTCCCGTGATGTTTTGTAATGTACAAAACTTCACGGGACTTGAAGTCTCGTGAAGCTGGCGGGTAAAGAAGTTGAAGTCCCGTGAAATTGTGAAATTGTATAAACTAAGTTTAGCGGGGGCTTAAATATCACGGGACTTGAAGTCCCGTGAAGTTTTGTAATTTTTTTTTTCAAATTCGACCCAGTTTCAGCCAGTTGGCTGAAACTGGGTCGAATTTGGTAATTAAATTCAAAACAGGTCGATTTTTGTAATTATTTTTCTAAATAGGTCGAATTTGAAAATTTGTCCTTAAGTGAATTTCCTGAAAGCATAAAATATTTCACAAAAAAAGCTTGTCAAAGCCTAGTGTATCAAGACCACTTGTTGCTCATGCAAGTTCCAAATAGTGATCAGGTTGACCATTAATCTTAGGTTTATTCCAACTAGCTAAGAGGTCAAACTGAAACGTGGTACAGCTTTACCATTTAATATTTTATTCTTATTGTTGCATTTATAGTTTACTAACTGTTATTCATATTTGACTGCATCATGAGATACTTTGTGGCTTCTAACTTCTAATAAATCTATCCATATTTTAAGATTTAGGGTATGGCTATATTAACTTGTCACTTTGCTAGACATGATGTCATACATTGTTGTGGTTGATATCATAATGATTCAATACCAGTAAATTACTCAGTGAAAGGAAAAAAACTCAGTGGATTATTTTAGTCAGGGGTATGGATCGTATGGTATTGTTATTAAATGAATGGTAGATGTAAGAGTTTTTTTTGCTGGTTGTACTTCATGAACAAGTTTCCTGTTATCAAGATTGATTTATGACTTTGCTTACATGTTTTCTATAATCTATTTTCTATCCGCACGTTCTAATTTCATTGTTTATTCATGTCACTATTACTGGCACTTCTTCACATCAATTCTGTCATCTGATGTTTACAAGTCTTTGTACCATTGTACTCTCAATATCTGTATGACATGACATTGGGTTATGAAACCTGTTATTTATTAGGCTATGTGCTATACTGGGGCTGAAGAAATTCCGACTGTGAATTATTAATGGTAACACATTTTCTCCATTTACATTTGCCTTCCGCAAATGAATATGTAATATTTCTTACTATATAGCATGGCATTTGGATGATTATCTTTGCTTGACTAGCAAAAGCCTGGTTTTGTTGGTTTTGGATAGTGAGAGATATTGATGTGTGTATATAATTTTTTTCACCACCAATAAAGCGACAATTTGGTGACGTGTTGTTGCTTAATGATGGCAGTAAATTAGAATATGTGACTCAGATATTAAAATATGCTTGTTCTTCTCGGTAAGATTAATAATAAATAATATTAACAGTAGTCAATAGTTAAGTGTTGGACCTGAAAATATGTTTTCTAGCATTTTTGTTAATTGATTATCTTTTGGAGATCATGCATGAAAGCTTTTTATTTTTAATCTTTGGTACATTGATTTAGTCAATAATAAAACAAATTTTCATGTCAATCACCTATTGTTTGAGTTCATGCTATTATCTAACATGCTTATATTCATAGTTTCTTGTGTTTCATTTTTGTTGAGTTAGTTTACCTTATAATAGATTGTTGGAAGACATTTTATCTGACTATTGTGCTTTGTTTGGGAGAGAAATTGAACCTGGTGGTTGAAGTTCACAGTTCACACAATGTGTTAAGAAGAGTTTTAATTTGTTTTTGAACTATACTGATATAGCTACTTATCCAAGTCTTAATGTGTAATGCTTCCTCCATCTCTTCACACCACAGAAGATAGGACAATAAGGGGTGCAAAATGAATGCCAACTTGTGTAATTTTCAAGCTGATCGACTTGTATAGTCTTTATACTGTTATTGGTGGTTAAGTCCAGTTGAGCAGGAAAGAGTGTTCATACAGATCCTACTGGAAAAGTGATTGTGGTATGCAAAATCATCCAACTTGGAAAATTATGATACTAAGAAATTTTGAGTTAAAGAATTCAGATAAGTACTGCGGCAATTGATTAATCTAAAAATTTATGCGTTCTGAAGTTTCCTACTCAGAAGCTTTTAATATGAGCTAAGCAGCAGCGATGGTCATGAGCATTGATGTCATAGGTCCAACTGTCCCTGAATATCTGAGGTATCAACTCTTAAACAAGAGAGCATGAGCAAATGTGCGTGTATGAACTCCCATGTGTGATATTTGTACGCTGATCAAGAACAACCATCCAAATCAACAATCCACATTAATAATCATGCTCTCTGTTACTATAAAGTTTCTTACATAGCCTTACAAGATATTAAGAGAGAAATATTGAGAGAGAACACAAGGTTAGTGTTTGAAGAGTATGGTGAATAAACTAGGAGTGGATCTTTCTACTTTGTTTTCATTGAATGGATTTATACTTGATAACTATCTTTAAAATTTGAGCTTTATACTTGAACATGATTTTTTATTTGACATACAATTGCTATTCTGCTAATTGTTATTTTAGCTTGGCGTGATCTTGTAGACCTCCTTTGTGAATACACATGTACAACACATTTTGGATATTTCAGTTCTTTTATATTTGATCTTAGTTTAACAACCTCTTTCGTATGCCGCAGAGGGCTGATGCTTCTACCGCATGGAACGAGTACACCTCTCCAGATGGACGGAAGTGAGTGCTGTTGTTCTTTTAGAGGGTTTTCCCCTTTCCTTTAATATAATCTTGAAATTTGTAGTTCTGTATTGGTTGTAATTTCAGTTCATTTACCTATGAAAATATTTTATAGGTACTATTATAACAAGCTCACTAAGCAATCTAAATGGACTATTCCTGACGAACTCAAGGTTTTCAGTTGGCCTTCTTCAGTTCAATTGTTTTCGCAGTTCGTCTTTGTCTATTATTTCCTATATCTAAATCTGATTAGACTGTACTCTTCAGATAGCTCGTGAACAAGTATTAAAGATGGGAGTTCAATCTATACAGTCAGAGACTGGGGCAACTTCTCTTGGCTCTGTTTCTTTACCCCTTCCAGCACTTCAGACTTCTTCTGCGTCAGCAACAAGCAATTTCACGTCTATAACAACATCTGCTATTGGATCAAGTCCGTCTTCAGCGAGCCTTGTTGTAAATTCTGTTGACCCTCCGGGTTTGGTGGCATCTGAATCACCATCTACTTCTGCTGTGCCTTCCACCGAAGTGCCTTCTAATTCTCCCATGCCTAATATCACTGCACCTATCAACCCTGTACCTGTTTCATCATCTACGGCTTCTGTGGTTGTTGAGGATACAATGAATACAACAGCAGATGCTACAGCAGCAACAACAAAGTACATAAAATGAGAATCCCAACTGCCTACTTTAACATGAAATGCAAAGGCTTTTCTGAATTATACATCTTTTATGTTTTGGGAAACTACAAATATCACCTTGCCCTCTCCGTAATTTCATACTTGGCTTTGTATTTTGAAGGTATTTTACAGGCAGTAACAAACAACCTGAACCAAGGATGTTTTATTTTAAAAAATAAACCTTAGTTTAGTTAGTTTCAGCTGTTCAACCGATCCATTTTGCTGTTGTATTAGAAAATATATTCCATTAGCTTATCCATATTATTACCAAGTTAACCCAGCAACATGTGGCTATTTTAATTGACATGGCAGCAGTCAATAGCTGAGGTAGTTTTATTATATTGCAACAGATGCGTGAATATGCGTGTGTGTGTATTTTTTACTTTGATATCAGTTCAACTTTTGCTCACTATTTGACTAAAGGGCATACTTGCACAAAAGATTTAAAATTAAAAGAATGGTCCATTTAGGGGAATGCGTAAAGGGCAAGGTGAAATATGTTATTTCTCAAAGTCACAAGGGTACTGAAAACCAAAAGTAAATTATATGAATTGACATTTTTGTTTATTTTACTAGGACCATTAATGAGAATTCATCTCTTTCAAGTGTAGAAAAAGTGGCAGATGGAAAATCTCCAGAAGATCTGGAGGTCAGTCCACTTTGTTTTATTGATTTTATCCACCTTTATCTCCTCATAACCTAATGATTTTATGTCTCTCCATGCCAGGAGGCCAAAAGAGCTACTCCACTTGCTGAAAAAGTCAAACTTGTTCAGATAGAGGATAAACTGATTGTTGAAGAACCATTGGCGTATGCTAATAAGCAGGTAAACTATCTGCAATTTAATCGCTATGTCTATTAGCATTTTTTATCTGTCATGAGAATTTTAATTTCTACTTTTGTTTCTCAGGAGGCTAAGAATGCCTTCAAAGCACTATTGGAATCAACAAATATTGAATCTGATTGGAGTTGGGAACAAGTAAGTTTATTTCCTGTCTCCTCTCATCATTTTTTACATGTTACACATCTGATATCATGAGAAAATTTTCAGGCTATGAGAGTCATCATTAATGACAAAAGATATGGTGCGTTAAAGACACTTGGAGAGAAAAAACAAGTGTTTAATGAGGTAGGCACTGAAGGACTGCTAGGGGACTTGAAAATTATTCTTAAGACATGGCTAGATCATATCTTGGAATTCTTTGCTTATTGCTGAAGCTTCATCCTTGTTTTGACCTTTTTATCTTTTTATGTTTCAGTATTTGGGTGAAAGAAAGAAACAGGAAGGTGAAGAAAGACGCATCAGGCAGAAAAAAGCGCGTGAAGATTTTATCAAAATGTTAGAAGTAAGATGTTTTTTTTTGGAAGCTTTCTCACTTGTCATTCATACATTAACCCTTTCTTTCATTTTTGATCCTTCAAACAGGAGTCCAAGGAATTGACATCATCAACTAGATGGAGGTCTCTATATTTTCATGCATTTCAACATAATTGTTCTTAACTTACAGGAGGCCTATATATGATGTTTTATATAAATCTATTTCTTTAGGATTCAAAGTTAATTCCTCAGATATAATTGTTTCTGAATATTCATTTTTTACTACATAAAAGTTTCTTGTGATTTTTCAGGAAAGCTGAGGCCATGTTTGAAAGCGATGAGAGATTCAATGCTGTTGAACGAGCAAAAGATCGTGAAGATCTTTTTGAATCTTACATTGCTGAACTTCAGAAGAAGGTGAGGTCCCGTTTATTTTTAGTTACATGTTGCAGACACAATTATGTTCCTTGGATCTTTGCAGACGCAATTATGTTCCTTGGATCTTATTGCTCTACTAGGTCAAGGAAAAAGGCTTATTGGATGGGAAGTATGAACATTGACATGAACCTTAATATGGTGCCATATGGAATCAAACAACATTGTGAATCCTTAACGCCATCTTTTAATCCTAGGACTAGGAGGTATTATAACCCCCGGACTGTAGTCCTCAGATTGTGTTATCGTGAGACGAATATGGCCATTTCATGTCGGATATCGTTTTTGAGGTCCATGTCGGACATGTCGAGGGATATTGCGGACATGTTGGCCGATTTTTAGCCTTGAAAAATCAAAAATCGGCCGATTTTTTTATTTTTTATTTTATTTATTTATTTTTAGTTGATAAATATTTGGGTTTGCATTTAGTACTCAAAAGTAATCTGATTAATTCTTTTTAGCCTTTTGTTCCCATAGTAACCTGATAGCATATAATACAGATTAGGGCAAAGAAAAAAATATTGCTCTCTTTTTCGCCGCGATCTCTCGTTCGTCTTCGTCTTTACAAATTGAAATTGAGAATACATAAAAGCGTGATGTAAACAATAAGTTTGAATCGAAGCTTGAAATCAATTCAAAGTCCACACTTTATGTCAATTTTATGCAATGCACTTTACTTTATGTTAATTTTATGCTAGGCACTTCGAGAGTTCTAGTTTGACAATGTGTATTTTATTTATTTGTTGGCATAATATTCTAATGGTTCCCTTCAAGAAATGAAAAATGACTCGTGCCTTGATGATAAATACTCAACTCAAGTAAGATAAATTATAACAAGACAAGTGCATTCCATCGTGGTGATCAAAATTGAGTAGAAATCCATCGGATGTGGCAATCCGATATTTAGTATATATCCCCCGACATATCCCCGATTTTCACTATCCGACATGAATCCGATATTCGACATTTAAAACATTGAGTACGATATAAGGACAAATATGGATAAGCTTACTTTCATAGTTTTGTTTATCAATGTTTTAAATATCGGTCGATAAAATGATATTATCAGCGAATTATCGGTTTTGGGGGCCTATGATAAGTTTGATTCTAAATTACTTATCATTTTTGGATGTTTATCGCCGATAATGCAACAATAAGTGGAGTTATCGGTCGATATTGTCGGCCCAAAAATTGGAATTACGGACCTTTGGTTTGAGTTTTGATTTCGGGCAACGGGTACCTGTTCAATGCACTTTAAACCCGACCTGCTCCGAGTTTCTACCATTTCTTAGTGATCCTAAACATAATTATTTGCATTTTGGTATGTTTATATTCATTAAGTATGGTTGGATTAAATTTTAAAATATTATATTATGTTTATCACCATCCGGTAATATCACTCTGATAATCCGCGATATTCGCTATCCGATATGGATTTTAACTGTCTGATAAATCTCCGATAACCGATATTTAAAACCTTGTTATTTATAACTTTAAACCCCAAATCCATATTAGGGAGTGGGATATGTTCTAGGGAAAGTAAAATGAAGAAAAAAAGAAACCTTAATATTAACTTGTATGGATTCTCATATTGAACAAGACAAAAACTTGAAAGTTCAGTCAATTATATAGATCCTAAGAACCATTGGCATGGACAATAATCATGGACATGACATGATGGCGAGGCTACAATATTATATTCCTCAGTAGAGCAGATGTACACAACATCATTAGTCTTGACTATATACAATATTACTACTAAGAAAATGTGAAACAATACGAACAGTAATGAAAGAGGGTGTACGCTAACACACACACATACACAAAGGCGCTCACTTGCATGCAAATACATAAAAGGTTTAATAATATAATTTCTCAAATTGTTTGCATATGTACTAATGTTATACATTTTTATCCATTTGTATAAGGATAGGTCTTGGTTCTTTGATTTTCTATAGAATATCTATTAGTATTTCACTAGTGTTTAAAATATTCACTGAAGTTTTTATAATTTTATAAAAGCAATTAGTTTGTTATTTCCATTAAAATAAAGTAAATACATGCCTAAGAAATGTTGATGCTCAATATATGTCGTACATGGATAGACTTCATGATAAAGTGTATGTTCTACATAGGCAAGATTTAGTTCAAACCCCAGATGTCTCTCAACTTCTTACATGTTTTAGAGGTGTTTAGGTTCTTTAAAAATGTACTCCTTTATCAAGTGATTTCTTTTGTTTGTTTAAGTAATTTATCATTTGGCGTGTTTGCATGCAATGTTTAGAATATCTGTTAAAAGAATAATGAGTATCATATGAGTGACATATGAGAGTATTCTTTCATATACATATACAATGACGTGTCTAAATCTTAGCAAAGTGATGTGGGCTGAATTATGTAACAAAGAACCCACCTGTTTCCATTTGGCTGACAAACAACCATACCACTGTATATGAGAGAAACCCTTATATGTCATATGATACCCATTATCCTTGACTATTAAACGGGTGTGCACTTCTATGGGAGCTATTCATTTGTTCATTTAAAAAATTAAAACTTGTATGGCTTTTCACTGTTGGGCAAGTGGCTTTTGAGAATAGATGTCCAAAATGTGTCGAACATCAAAATGGGACTCGCTTTAAAGTTCTAATGTGTTTCTAGGGTATTGATTTATATGTTGTTTTCTCTTGTCCGCTTCATGTTATAACAACCTCATTCGCAATGCCGACGGAATATGAGACCACTACTTCTTACTAGGCAAAATCTAGTAACTTAATGATTGTAATCCATTCAATAACAATCCTAAATCCCATACTGTTGGAAATATTGTGTTAGCATTCATCTTAGTAAGAATTTTAGTCTTGATTGCAACTGTTGATAATGTCTAGAACAAAATAAGTTTCCATCTAAATGAATATAAATATCATCTAACGACATAGGAAGAGGTGAACAATATTCAAATGGAACCTTACTGATTTATAAACTCTGATGGTATAAGCCGTTCAAATATTTGAACTTATGAACTTCCAAAGTTATAAACAATTACATCAATTAGTTTTAACTAATTAAAAATGTGGAGAGTTCAAATATCTAATTGTTAGCCTAAACTAGACAATTAATAGTTACAAGGGTCTTTTGTATATAATAAATACCCCTTAAATCATAGACTTGGCCACTGGCTTGGCCCGACCCAAAAGCCAGTCCTGCCCTACCCGTGCGGACCATGCTTTAACCCAACCCGGATTAATTATGGGTTGGGCTAGGCAGAGGGCCCAAAACCCAGGTCCGAAATCAGCCCTAGCTGAACCTGCCTCTATCATAGCCCTGGTCCAACCTAAATTAAGTTGAAAATCCATACTTTTTAGCCCAAAATTCAGGCCTGAAACCATGTCCAATACTATTGGATCTTACTAATTAAAAGAAAAAATATATTTAAGTTTGACCCAAAACCAGGTCCAATACTATTTGGTCTCGCTAATTAAAAAACCATGTCCAAAATTCAGCCCACTTGCATATGCACGGTGGGCTGCCCAAAGCCTGATGGTTTGGGCTGGCAAGCCGGGTTAGGGCAGTTCTGAAGCCTGTAATTAAAGGGCCAAACCTAGCTTGGAAAAGTCCGGGCTTGAGTGGCCGGGCACGTGTCAGCCTGTCGCCAGGTCTTCTTAATCATGCATATTTGAAAAGCTACCCTTCAAATCTTAGTATTTGCAAAACTATGCCAAATCTTCAACTTTGAAAAAAATTGCCCCCAAATCAACAAATCATCAACTTTGCTGGACATGGTGAGTAAAAATTTGACTAATTTGCCAATATTTTTACATTGCACTTACATATTAGCCTCTCAAAGTTGATAATTTGTTGATTTGGGAGTAACTCTTTTTTTTTTCAAAGTTTGTGATGTTGGGGTAGTTTTACACTTGAGATTTGGGGGTAATTTTGCAAAGGACTATATCTACAAAAAACCCCTAAGAAAAAACAAGGATATTGGAAATTCGTCATTCTCCTTGGAGAAGCAACAAAATTCCACGATGTTATCATTTGATTCTCCTTTTGGATATGACTCAAGTTGCTAGACGAAGCTTTCAGAGGTCAAAGCCTTCTGTTTGCTGAAAATAATATTTGGATGAGCAATGATAGTTCAGAAAATAAATGAAAACATACCACATATTTTGCAAATATATATAAAAACTAAAGTGAATCTTGAAAACCAAAAAAATAATTACATTCTCACCAAACTCATTCTTCATATGAATTTCTGTTCCTTGAAAAAACAATGTCCTGAAAAGTAAGCTGTACGCTGTCAATACTTCACACCATGGTTTACTTGGTTGTAACTTATGTCACAATTAAACCCATCGTTGAGGTTCAACATCAACTCGTGGGAACTCGTGTAGGTGTAGCTCTAGAAATTTCTCTCATGGTATAGGGAACATATTGAAGCCTAGCATGACTTGTTTTTTTTGTCATAACATAATATATTTTTTTTCATTGAACAAAACATGTCAAAGGACGATGTGGTAATAATTGGGCATGTATCCCATCCTATTGTATATGAAAAATCATGAATTGCTTTCAAATATATATAAACACTTGTTTTGAAGTTTTATAGAACACTTTCAGAGAATTAGTATTGTTATTAATATTTTTGTATAAATACTGTGTATTTGATGACATAAATTAACCATGGGAAACAATTTATTGGTAATATAGGTTCATTGTAGTTGGAATTAGAAAATTACAAACTCAGAGACATGCATCTGTTTCATAGGGCAAGCTAAGCAAGTAGTTTGTGTAATCATATCTTAAAATTTAGTGCAAGTTTTAATGCAATGTTGTGGCTGCAAATACTCGTCTAGGTCATTTCACAACTATTTTGTTCAGTTGTTTTAGCAGCCACATACACTTCTTTGCAACCTCGATGCATTATGAGATACTCAATTTCTCATTGGTACTCACCAGATGATCACATTTGGTATTTGATGAGTAGATTATCTCAAACAAATAGAAATGTATGCATACTCCTATTCATCTTTTTTATCTAGATACCGGAAAACAATCAGGTTATTTATTAACATGCTACTGCCTTAATCTTGCTTGACATACTTTCTGATATGTTCTCCCATTATGTGTCAAAACTTGCACATATTGAATAAAGATAAAAATTCGTTAAAACTTTGTAGATCATCTCATCATTCTTTCATCCACCATTCTTTCATCTTTAATTTAACGCAACCATAAAATCTGAGAATTGCAGGAGAGAGCAAAGGCAGCTGAAGAGCGTAAACGGAACTTCATGGAATACAGAGCGTTTCTTGAATCTTGCGACTTCATCAAGGTAAAATCCTGAAAACAAATGTCTGTCTCGTCACCCATTATTGTTATATTTTTCTTAACTTTAAGATCCTTTATATTCAGGCAAACAGCCAATGGAGAAAAGTTCAAGAACGCCTGGAGATTGATGAGAGATGCTCTCGGCTTGATAAATTTGATCGATTAAAAATTTTCCAGGTAACTTTTCACTACCATATTATTTATCATGCAAGGTAAATTAATTCACTTTCTCGTGTTTCAGGATTATGTAAACGATTTGGAGAAAGAGGAGGAGGAACAACAGAAGATACAGAAGGTGCATTTGGTTTTTATTATTTTCTTCTCTACTGTACTAGTAGTAATGCTGATGCTATTCTTATTAAGCATCAGGAGTTTCAAAATATGTTTATTCTATGATATGCAGGAGCAATTGAGAAAAGCAGAGCGCAAAAATCGTGATGATTTTCGCAAATTGATGGAAGAACACGTTGCTGCTGGCATTCTTACAGCAAAAACTCATTGGCGTGATTATTATGCAGAGGTTTAATTTTGACTAGTGCTTACGTTTTCTTTACTAAATGAGACCATCACTGGAAATGTGAACATAGTTCTTTATTTGTCATCAATGTAAACTGAGCAGCTTTCTCATATTTTCAGGTTAAAGATTTTCCATCATACGTTGCAGTCTCATCAAACACCTCAGGTGCAACACCTAAAGTTCTCTTTGAAGATGTAACCGAGGAGCTAGAAAAACAGGTTTGTCTTTTCTAAGGACATGTTTTGAGATCATACATCTGCATTTGTTTTGGGGTACGATCATATGCCAGATTTTGACAGCGATAAAAGAATGAGACAAAAGATTCTGAGATTACATGATACTATACTCAATGTAACAAGCCTTGCGGAAAATTGGCCATTTAATACTACAAAGGATTGGCCATATAATACTCTTATTGTCTAAGTTGCATTACAGACCAAAAAACTGGTCTATGCAATCAAATTGAAAGACATGTCACTTTTAGACACGAAAAAATTCTGTAAAAGGTAAGTGATTTGATTGATATAGCTAGAGGCCACAATAAGCAAGTATTACATGGACAATGCTGTAGTTTAGAGGTTAGATCCTGAAAGAGTTAGGACTCATAGAACTGAGGAATTTTTCTGTTGACAGTTGATTAAGCTATGACCATTATCTCCAAATTTTTGAGTGCATTGACAACTCGTTTTCTTTTTATTCCTTCATTCATCTGACTGCCACTACTTCAATTAAATTGGCAATCTCCATCTTGCTGCCTCACTCGTATTTGTTTGGACGTTTGGTCTGCACCTAGTCCCTGATGCTCTTCCAGTTACAAAGTTATCACTCTTTTATCAGCAAGCTCATTGTCCTCCATTAAACATATCAAGACCATCTTAGTCCATTGCCCATCAACTTGTTCTCAATACAAGCTATTCTTGTTCTCACTTGTACACAGTTCTTTTCTTGTGTTTGTACTGTAGTACATTGTTGGTTGGTAATATAATTGGTTACAAAATATCATTGTTATATTGGAAAAAGTTGTAGAGTTTCCACAATTTATGATCGGTAATTAAATTACCTGCAAGAAGGTGACAATTGTGGTTGGCTATCAAGCCGTCCCAAAACAGACCTCAATTGCTGCATAATGTGACTACGTTAAAGGGAAGGCCATATCACGTCTGCACACTGTTTCTTAGGCAAACTGGGTGTTACATACACTTGTTGAAAGATACTGACAAACAAGGAAAATGAAAGGAGATTGCAAAGCTGCTGACGCTAATGATTCTTTAGAAGGAAGCACCTGAGTGGGATCCACAGGATAGTGCACATAGGGGTGGTCCGACCCGACCTGTTTATAATGGGTATGAGTTGAATTACATAGGTCGGCTCATAAATGGGTCAACCAAAATTTACTCATTTATTAAGTAGGTCAATTCGGGTTGACCTGACTGACCCGTATAACACAAACACCGACCTGCTATAAGAGAAAAAAAAGAAGAGAAGCCCTAGATTTCCCATAAACGTGTTGTAGAGAAAAAAGAAAGAAAGAAGAGAAGCCCTGGATTTCCCATCACGAAGCTCAAGCAACGAGCGACGGCGATTGGAGAGAGGTGACGAACGGCGAGCGGCGGCGATTGGAGAGAGGTGACGAGTGTTCGAGAGTTAATTACAATTAGACCCTCGGCTTTGGATCCTTCATTAGTCGAAGGACCAAGTTCTCTATGGACTCCATCACAAACTTCATCGTTGATGCTTTTGCTCGCTCTTTGCTCGTTATCGCCTTTATCGGCCGCCTACAGCGAAATTTGGGGATTTGAAGGAAAATTTGTAACAAGCCCTTTAACTTTTACTGCTTAATTTTAAGTCCAATATAGTCATGTAGAGACCTACCGAGCCTGCTAACACTGCTGGGCCAGGCTATGAAGCTGGGCCTTGGCAATCTTGATTGCCTAACTTTAATTATACATTGCTTATTTCTTGTTTCTAATTTGTATTTTCTTTTCTTTTTAGAAATAATATGAGCTGTCCTTATTGATTACTTAGGTTATAATCAATGAGGATTAGAGTTGAAGATTACGGAAACTCCATGATCTTATTGGAGAAAATATATAGCTGTTTGGTGTGTCCTACAAGCATATGTTATTAATACACTGCTTTCTTCTCCAACAAGTTTGGGGAAAATGATATCCACAAATATTTATAGTTTTTTTTCACCTAAACCGCCCTGAAAATAGGGTGTTACATGAAACCCACCTTCAAAG